ATCTGTAATCTCATGCTTTGTAAGGCTGAGGTGGGAGAATCACTTGACTTCAGGTGTTCTAGACCAGTATGGGCAACGAGACTTCATCTCCACAAAAAAGTAAAGTTAGCTGGATGTGGTGGTGTGTGCCTGTGATTTCAGCAACTTGAGAGGCTGAGGCAGGAGCTTCCCTTGAACCCAGAAGGTCGAGGCTGCACTGAGGTATGATTGCATCACTACATTCCAGCCTGGGTGATAAGAGTGGTAGAGTGCGACACTGTCTTTTTTGTTTTTAATGTTTTTTATTTGCATTTATCTTCTCTTTCTTGGTGGTGCTGTTTATAGCACAACGGGTTGTAATGTTGATGAAGTCCACTTTATCTATCCTTTGCTGCTTGTGCTTCTGGCATTGCACCTAAGAGTCCAAGGTCAGAAGATGTGCGTTTCATGGTTGGCTCTTCCAGTGAGGGCTGTGCTCCATTCTGAGTACTGTTGTCTAGGCATACAGAGGAACTCCAGCTTGCTTCTTTCACACGTGGTTATCCAGTTGTTCCAGCACCGTTTGCTGAAAAGACTGTTCTTTCCTCTGTTGTCTCAATACCTTCGTTGAAAATTAGCGGCTGCACTCCATTCACAATAGCAGAAATGTGGAACTAACCGTGCTGCCCATCAAAGGTGGACTGAATAAAAAAATGTGGTACACATACACAATGGAATATTATGCAGCCATAAAGAAGGACAAACATGAACTTTGCAGCAACTTGGATGGATTTAGAGTCTATCATACTCAGCAATCTATCACAGAAACAAAGAACAGAGTACCATATGTTCTCAGTCTTAAGCGGACCTTGAACGATTATCATAATACTATAAGAAAGGGATTGGAGCTGGGCTCGGTGGCTCAGCCTGTAATCCCATGCCTCGGAAGGCTGAGGTGAGTGGATTGCCTGAGCCTGCGGGTTTGAGACCCGCCTGGGCAACTTGGCGAGACCTCATCTCTACAATAAATCAAAAAATTAGCCGGGTGTGGTAGCGCACGCCTGTAGTTCCTACTACTTGGAAGGCTGAGGCGGGAGGATCGCCGGAGCCCAGTAGGTCGAGGCTGCGGTGGCTGAAAGTGACCACTGCACTCCAGTCTGGGCGACAGAGTGAGACTCCAGCTTAAAAAAAAAAAATGGATTGGTAGTAGTGGGAAACTGCCAAGAGAGGGGGTGGGATTGGCAGTTGAAGGAGTCTGCCAGGGGGTGGAGGAGCACACCTCATCAACAAGGGCACCTGCATAATGAACATTTGTTTACCTAACCCTGAACTGTACCCCACATCTTTAAAAAAAGAAAATTAGTGGCTGGAAGCTGGGTGTGGTGCTCAAGCCTGTAATCCCGGCACTTTGGGAGGCTGAGGCCAGAAGATGGCCTGAGCCCAGGGGTTTGAGACCAGCATGGGCAACATGGCGAGACCTTGTCTCTACAATAAATCAAAAAATAAGCTGGGCATGGTGGTGCATGCCTGTAGTACCAGCTGCTCGGAAGGCTGAGGAGGCAGAAGGATCGCCTGAGCCCAGCAGGTCGAAGCTGCGGTGGCCATGAGCATGTCCCTGCCCTCTAGCCTGGGCGACTGAGTGAGACGCTAACTCAGAAAGAAAATTAGTGGCCGCAAACGTGAACACTCATTTCTGGACTCTGTTCCGTGACGCTCACCGGATGTCTGTCTTTTTGCCGCAGCAACTGATGAGTTGGGACAGTCAGGTCCTTCCACTCAGCGCCTCCTTTCAAGAGCGTCTTGGCTCTGCTGGGCCTCTTGCGTTTCCACATTAATTTTCTAATAAGTTTGTGAATTTCTACAAGCAAAGGCATCTGGCACTTTGGTTGGGGCCACGTTGAGTCTGTAACTGGGTTTGGGGACTCCTGCTCCCCCAGCGCTCAGGCACCTGTCCATGAACATGGGGTGTTTTTCCGCCGAGGCAGGTCTCCTCGGACTCCTCTCGGCGATGCTTGTAGCTTTCGCAGCACGCCCTTCCACTTCCTCTGTGAGCGTTGTGTTCCTTGAAGTGATCATGAGGGAATTGCTTTTTTCCGTTTTCAGCCTGGTCTTTGCCGCCGTGTAGGAACACAAATGCCACATCCTGGCCTTGAGTGCAGCCTGGCGCGCTGCCTGGTGTTCTGATGAGTCTGGGGCTTCCTCACGGCGCTCTAGGTGCAAGATCGTGCCACCTGGGACCCAGGGAAGTTCGCCCCTTCCTTGCCAGTCTGCTGCCCACTCGTACTTCCTTTCCTCGCCTGACTGTCCACTAGCAGCTCCGATGACTGCCAGCCACGGCGTCGTGAGCGGACCTCCGTCCGGCCCGGGTCTGCAAGGCCAGTGTCCTTTATCAGGTGGGGGAGGGTCCATCTGCTCCTTGCTGGAATGTTCCTGTCGTGGAAAGGTGTTGGACTTTGTGAGATGCATTTTCCATGTCTTCTGAGGTGATCATGTGGTTTTTTTAAGCCTTTATTCTCTTGATATTCTTTTTTCTGTTTGCTTTTTCCTTGAGTCCGAGTCTCACTCTGTCGCCCAGGCTGGAGGGCAGGGGCATGCTCCCGGCCACTGCAGCCTCGACCTGCCGGGCTCAGGTGGTCCTTCTGCCTCTGCCTTCCAAGTAGCCGGAACCATAGGCACGCACCACCACTCCCGGCTAATCTTTTGATTTATTGTAGAGACGAGGTTTTGCCAGGTTGCCTGGGCTGGTCTCGAACCCCTGGGCTCAGGCCATCCTCTCACCCTGGCCTCCTGAAGTGCTGGGATAACAGGTGTGAGCCACCACACCTGGCTCTTTTGATATTCTTATGTATAACTGTTTATTATCTTATGCATCAGTTTAATTGCATTGGTTTTCTTGTGTGTAACCAACCTTGTATCTGTGAAGGAGCTGCTTTTCTTTCCGTTTTGGTCCTTGTGTCTGTTGCTGGGTTCAGTTTGCTGGTATTTTGTAGAGGATTTTAGTTTCCGCATGCATAAGGAATATTGGTCTATGGGTTGTGCTTTTCTTGTGATGCCTTTATCTGCTTTCGAGATCAGAGTAACGAATTGGGAGGTGTCTTTTCTATTTTATGGAAGCGTTTGTGAAAATGGTATCCTCACTCTCCAAAAGTGTGGTAAAATTTTCCAGGGAAGTCGTCTGGGCCGTGTGTGTGTGTGTGTGTGTGTGTGTGTGTTGGGGTTCACGGCCGACTCCATCCCTTCACTTGTCTCGTTGTTGCGTGACGTGGTGCGTGCAGGCTGCCTGTAGAGGCACTTCGGTGAGAGGAGGGGAGCCTGGAGGGGTGGGCGCAGAAGCTTGAGATGCAGTGGTTTCTCATTGGCTTCCTCACCCCTACACCCCATCGGCAGTCTCCTAGAGGAAGCTTCCTTCTCCCTCCTGCATGAGCATAGGATTACCTGCATTAGGCAGGATGTGTAGCTCCACCTGACACAGGTGGGGTCAGTGTTCAGACCAAGACACATGGCAGCAAGAACCCCCAGACATCCCAGGAGCCTCCAGGCAGGGCGTGTTCGACCTTGCCTTAAATATCGGTTCAAGGCCGGGCTCGGTGGCTCAGCCTGTAATCCCAGCACTTTGGGAGGCCGAGGTGAGTGGATTGCCTGAGCCCGCGGGTTCGAGACCCGCCTGGGCAACTTGATGAGACCTCATCTCTACAACAAACCAAAAAAATTAGCCGGGCGTGGTAGCGCGCGCCTGTAGTTCCAGCTACTCGGAAGCCTGAGGCGGAAGGATCGCCGGAGCCCAGCAGGTCGAGGCTGCGGTGGCCGGGAGCGGCCACTGCACTCCAGTCTGGGCGACAGAATGAGACTCCAACTCAAAAAAAATATATATATCGGTTCAAACTCAGAAGGTGCCTTGGCTGTTGAGATTCCCGGGTCGCAGATGCTGGTTCATGAGGGACTTCAGTGCAGTCACTTAAAGAATGCGGTGGCTCAGCTGGGTGCGCTGGCTCGAGCCTGTCATCCCAGCACTTTGGGAGGCCAAGGTGAGAGGATTCCCTGAGCCCACAGGTTCGAGACCCACCTGGACAACTTGGTGAGACCTCATCTCTACAATAAATTAGCTGGGTGTGGTGGCGAATGCCTATAGTTCCAGCTACTTGGTAAGCTGGGGCAGACAGATCCCCAAGCCCAGCAGGTCAACACTGGGGTGGCCATGAGTGTGCCACTGTCACTCCAGCCTGGGCGACAGAGTGAGGCTCCAACTCAAAAAAAAAATGCGGTGGCTCTTCCTGCTGATGTGAGGTGATCTCTGGGATATTTAATTAAGCAAAGTCTGCACAGTGGTGTGCTTCTACGTGAACCGGAAGAAAAACGTGGACGGGAGCCACAGGCACATGCAGGCAGGTAAACGCGGATCCCCTTGGGGCCCAGGCCAAGTCAGAGGCAGCGGGATGCTGCCCCCTGTGGCTTTGACAGCAGTGGCCGGAGTGAGTGGCGACAGTGGCGAGGCTGTGGGTCCTCATGGGACAGCCCCCGACCGTTCACATCTCCGTCAGCGTGTGTGAGGCTCTGCCGAGACCTCCACGCACGTGAAGCCAGGTGTCCCCAGGAGCGCCCAGATGTGTCCTCTGTGGGAGGCTGGCCCTCCGAGGTCGGGCACTCCCTTCCCAGCGCTGTTCGGTGGCACAGAAATCCCGCCCGGTGTTTCAAGGCGAAGGGCTTCCCTGGCCCAGTGGTCTCCTATGGCCTCCTGGCCAGGACGCCCCACCTTGCCCCTTCTTGGTGGACCTGATCGTGGCTGCTGCCTCCCCGAGTCTGGGTACTGGGAGATGAGGCCGATGCCAGAAGTTCCAGACTGTGTGGGCCCCCTGGCCCCGCTGGCCGCCCATCTGCTTCCCTCAAGGCTGGCGGGATCAAGCAGGTGCAGCCTGGGCTGGGAATATCCACAGACCCGTCGCTCCGTCCAGAGCGAATGCTTCCCTTCACCGGCCCCGCGGCCCCAGGTCGGGTGCAGCCCTGGCCCTGTGGCCTCCGACACCGAGTCCTCCCTGCCTCCACAGAGAACACCTTCTGCAGTGGGGACCACGTGTCGTGGCACAGCCCCCTTGACAGCAGCGAGTCGAGGATCCAGCACATGCTGCTGACGGAAGACCCGCAGATGCAGCCCGTCCGGACGCCCTTTGGGGTGGTGTCCTTCCTGCAGGTAAGCGGACCCAGCAGGTGGGTGGGGATGCCTGCAGTCTTCCCCTGCAGCCCCAGAAGGTTGGCCAGGTGGATTCCAAGGGAGGCGTGGCCTGCTGAGGCGGACAGGGGCCGTGAGGCTGCCGCATGTGGCTGTGCTGAGGGGCCCGGGAAGCACGTTCTGTGAGTTGGGGGAGGCCGGACGTGCCCTCCCAGGGCGCCAGGAACTCCCCCCGTGACAGCTCTGAGCGGAGGTCCCTGTGGCTGCTGCACCGAGTCCAGGCCCTGCTCGGGGTCTCCTCTGCAGGCCGCTGGGGCCTTGGGCTGTGGCTCCGAGCTTGATGGGCTCGGCTCTTTTCTGCCGAAATCCCCTGCGGCACCAGATGGGTTGGGGATGGCTCCCAGCACCTCCCTGCCTCCAGAGATGCAGCTGAGGGCCGGCCCCGTGGGCTCAGCCCCACCCCCTCCTCTCAGCCGCGAGCTGGGCCGTGTCAACCAGACACCGACTGGCACAGCAGGCCGAGGGTCAGCGCAGCCTCCTCCTGGACTCAGCCGTTCCCAGCAGGCAGCGCTCCCGCCTAAGGGAACCGTCTAATTTGGAACATACTCACCCCTGAGCATGGGCCCGGCCTGCACCCCACTCGAGGTGACCCGAGAGAGCTTGGGCGGCTGACCTTTGGGGCAATGACTGTTAACACGCGGGGCTCCTTTCCTGCCTCAGATCGTTGGCGTCTGCACAGAGGAGCTGCACTCGGCCCAGCAGTGGAACGGGCAGGGCGTCCTGGAGCTGCTGCGAACGGTGCCCGTGTGAGTGCCTGCCGGCAGGAGCCCGCACCCAGGCCTGGGTGGGAGCCCCTCCTCAGTCCATGGCTCCCCGCACGGTGTTCCAGGCTCGGGGTTTTCACCTCAAAGCTCCCTGGCGGCTCCCCCATCAGTCCTGATCCCAAGCCGCTCCTCAGACCCTCCGCCCAGCCTCTCAGTCCCCGTCACGTGCCCTTTCCTTGTCCACAGTGCTGGCGGCCCCTGGCTGATAACGGACATGCGGAGGGGGGAGACCATATTTGAGATCGACCCGCACCTGCAAGTATGTCTCGAGTGAGGAAACCTTTCGAGCACACTATGCCTGGGCCTTTTCCAGATTACACTGGGAAGGCCGAGGACTGTGTGTGAGTAGAAGCGTGGCCTGGCTGGGCCCGTGTCCCCGAGTTCCGCGGAGCATGTTGGGAGTGGAGATTCTGCTCAGGAAAGCTAGTGCTCAGACACGCGTGTTTTGCATGTAAACGGGATGAACTGTATTGTATGTAAATTGCGCGTTGGCTTTTAAAAGTGAGATCACCGGCAGCCGTAGAAACCAAGGGTCTCGGCTTGGCCTGCACGTCTCGCAGTCATTCCCCACCTCCCCCTTCTTAAAGGAACGCAGAGGTTCCTTCGGGGTCCCCGCATGTCACAGACAGCAGAGGTGACCAAGGCGAGCACTGGTTGGTCTGGCGATCCCTTCCCCACTCGACACATTTTCTGTCCTGGGCGGCCAGACACCAGCTCCCACCCTGGATGGGTGTGAAGGGTCTTTGGACACACAGGCCTACAGCTGCCCCTCACCCTGCCCACCTGGACAGTTTCGTGTCTCGTCGCTGTCCCCGAAACACTCCTGGCGTGAGGTGAACTCTGGAAGCCTCTGATGGCAACGGAGAGCAGTCACCGGTGTGTCTGGCCACATCTGGCTCCTCCTGCTTCCCTCCACTGGCAGCC